TTGTTACCGATGCATTTTGTAATAGTCGTCTCGCCTGCTCGCTGGATTTCGACCCTCCATACTCCATAATCTCATTAAGGTAACGGATGAGTTCCAAAAAAACTGTAGAAACAAAATTGAAATACTTAAAAAGAAATCAATCGAAAATTTTTAAGAATATCTATTCATTATTTCAACAATTTTATTTAATTTAGAGAATCGAATAGAAAGAAATGTGGTAAATGTAAGTCCTTAATTTGAGGTTCCTTATAGTTCGAATTCCATATTAAAATTTTTGATAGGTAATTTAAGTATGTGATTTTGTCGTGACTTTGGACTTCGGATATTCTAAATTTGAGATTTTTAGTATTGCTAAATTCACTGATCTTCTGATATTTTCTAATTTAGTTATTTTGGTTTGTACATACTTCATCCCCTATTATGTATTTATATTCACCCCTGCTTCGATGTGAGTTTAACTAATTTGATACCAAAAAGTCTGTATAAATGATGCAGTACCTAACATTTAAAAATATTGTAGATAGTAAATTAGCCTAATCAACATATTGATTGTATACAGGGTGAATCAAAATTCAAGTGAATTATTTTCATGTAGGTATGAATGGAACCCTATATTTTTGTACTGCAAATGACATTTACTAAATACATCATTCTAATGCAGACTATTGAAAAAATACATTTAAGAATACATCTAATAAATATTTAGGACGTATAAATTGGAGCAACAATTTCCTGCTGTTGCCAGTTGATTCAAAATTCAACAATACGCACTTCAACAGGTTGCGAATACAAGAGGAATCCGGGGAAAGGAAACCGGTTAACAAATTGGGGAAAATCCGGGAAATCCAACATATTACGATTGGGTGGGTGGCCGCCGCCCACCCACCGCACCGTCCAACCCAGCCGGCATCGACAATGACAATTGAATCGGAGAAATTGGCGGGATTCGTGGAATCGGCGGGCCAATGGCAACAGTCGGCACGCGGCCGACTCGAGTTTCTCGGAATGTGGATCTTATTGCCGTCTAACCGGGGGTGGGACTGGCGCAGTGTTCCCGGCGGCGCCGCCGCCACCTCTCCTGCAGCCCTCATTGGATGATTTCCTTCTTTTTTTTTTCGACAATTCCAATTTCCAGTCGTATTCCGGCACTATTATTCCGAATGTTCCTTTCCACCAATACGAAGGGATCCAGAGGTCACGAAGGTTTGTTTAAATTATAGCAGGATATAGCTGCAGTGCAGTTACACATACCTACAAAGCTACGTCTGACGCATAACCGACGATATTAAATTTTTTCCACCCGTTTGCCGTGTCGTATTTCTTATTTGAAAACGTCTATAGCATAGTTTCGTAATAAGAATTAGAAAGGCACTCGAAAAACTCCGCTCGAAATCGCTAATTTTCATCTAAAAAATAAAGCGTCACGCGAAATATAGACGGGGAAAAACGACTGAAAAAAGCGCGAGAACTCTCGAGCGAAAGTGTAGACAGTAAAGAGAAAAGCCCAGAGATAAGGTAATCTTAGCTGAAAATTATATATGAGATTTAAATCCTAGACTACAAAATGCCTGAGGAACTCCGGGGCGAAAGGGGCGCGGAAGTGTAAAGGTGGAAAAGGCGAATTTTTATCATAACTATTTTGTAATTTTCCAAAAAGAGAAAATTGAAAAACTGCAAAGAGGAATAAAGCAAAATCGATAAACCTGCTCATACTATATAGAAGTGCTTGCATATACATCGCTGTTGGTTACCAAGAACTCCTTATATTAGGATTTATTATAGACATTTCAGATGTTACCAATTATTGATACTATTATACTTTAACTGTTAGGTTTTGAAACCAACTTTTAATCTTATTTGCCATGCACCTTCCTAATATTTGACAAGAGTAGGCGAATTTTCTCTAAAATATTTAAATATTCAGTATTCCGGTATGGTATATTCAATAAATTTCAGTCAGTAAAGTTATAAAGCTTACGTATATAAGATATCAGTAACCATCAGAGTCCCACCTCGGTGCATTTAAGTGCACAGGATGGAGAACACTGCATTCGCAGATGTAAAAGAGGAGTTAGGAGTTAGAAGGTAGTTTGGGAGGTTGTGGGAGTTGGCACAGAGTAAAGTGTCGTGCATGCCGGCTGCGACGGTGCCCGGCTCCGTCGCACCCTGGGGGTCGAGGGGCAGGAGGCAGTAACGACTGACTGGAAGGGACTCAAGTATAGCATTGCGCTAAGTATTGAGAGAGAGCTCCGGGTAATGTCCTCATCCGGGAGCGGCACGGGAGGCGGTAGAAGGCGGCAGCGGCGAAACGAATCGATACCGTCGTCGTCGGAGCAGAATAGAACGTTCGCAGAATTTCGTATTTCGTATAGTCCGATTTGCACCCGCTCGACTCGGCCGCCCCCATCCCGTCGGCCCCGGCCGCCTCCACCTAAACCCCCGTTCTCATGTGCTACTATTCTCGCGCCCGAGAACAACTTTTATTTGTCTTCTGATCGTCGCAGGGCCGGTTGCAGGAAATTTACGATACATCCTGCAGGATTTTTTAACCAACTGCAATGCACAAGTATACGACGTGCATCATCAGTAAGATATCTATTATATTTCTTGTTATTATGATTATAATAGATACCTATTATTAAAGATTTTTTTAAGAAAAGATTTGTAAGCTGCACATCAATGAAGTATGATACAGTTTCAACTCTTCAAACTTCATTTCATTAAACATCCTCTGTATATTTATATTATTAAAATGATTTCTTTGAGCTGGTTCAACAATACATATATTTTATAGTACCCAGTCGCCGTCTCTGGTGTATACTAAAAGATCTGCATTTTGTATAGAAAATCGAGAAAGACGACTTGCGTCTATCTAAAAGTTTCAAATACAATGCAGTCGTATGGAAAAAAATATTCAAATAAGATTATGCAAACAATAAAATTTATTTCAAGACATTTACTTCAAGACAAAATCAATTAATATTTATGTTCCGGTTAAATACCGAAGCAAGGGCCTACTTGTATCTATGTAGGTCTGCCCGTTCAAATCTCGAAGTATCGGACAGTGCATTGATAGGAAAGAGTAAGAACAACAAAAATTTATTCCGATCTAAAATTCCCGATCGACCTCCTCCAGTCGATTTAGGTGGATTGGAAGAACAGAAAAAGTGAAAGAGTGGAAAGTTGTTCGACGAAATTGCAAATGGAAAGCATCAATCTTATTCGCTTTGGCCTCGAGCTTTTTTCTGGCGAACAACACAAATACGAACGATAAATCAATGGTGGAAAAGCTGTCACTGGTTAGGAAGCCACACGGTTGTTGTTCGAAGAGAGTTCTACACCCCCCGATACATTTTCCATTTTCCAATCGGTATTCTCGGTCCGGGCCGAGGAAACCGATTTTCGCTTCGCTGAGAAATGGACTAGGTGTCAAGGAAACGAACGGTCTCGCGAGGTTAATTAAGAAAATATAAATAGCAGGAAGGTGCTTTAATTGATAGAAAATTATTATTTATAAAGTGATAATTTAATTACCTACAGGGTGCTTTCCTTGTAAAAAGTGTAAAAAAGTGATATTTTTGACAAAATTTTTAACTTTTCTTTTTCCTATAAATGGAGAGTGAAAACGTACCCCTAAAGATTACAAAAAATTCATCACAAAAACAAAAATTTCTCAAAAATCATAAAATAAAATCTACAGGGTGAGTTTTCTTTCTATGTTTAGTTCAGGGATCTCGGAAACTGTAGGAGATAGAAAAAAGTTTAATAGGGCAAATATTTGCAATTTTTTGAGACGCTTTTACAACCAGTCAGTTTTGCAAAATATGACATCTGTCAAAAGATCGTAAGAAAATTCCTTTTTAACAAAAGAAAATAATTAAATATGGTTTCCATTTAAAATAACATAATTTTATGTCATATTTCAAATAGCTAATACGAATAAATGGCTAATATCGTTAATGCTATCGTTTAAATGTAGTATCGAAAATGAAATTTTGTACTTTTGTATTTAACATTTTCTTCCTATAATGAATATATTCATAACTATAGTTACGGGGGTTAACCGATAACCGATTTAACAATTTGACAAGAAACGTTTTTTCTTAAATATCTTTTGACAGGTGTCATATTTTACAAAACTGAACCTTTTTGTGAACATGTCTCACAAAATTGCACATGTTGTCTGTTTAAACTTTTTAATTTCCTTTAATTTAAACTCCAACTACAATTTCCGAGATTTTTGTATAACTAAACATAAAAAACTCACCCTGTATATTATGAAAGCCCAAGTAATACAGCGTGTCCCAATAAAAATAGCTTATTTAATCAGCTTATTAACTATTAAACGCTTAATCATAAAAACATGCGGGTTTCGCAGATATGTTTTATTTTGTCACTGTAACTTTTGTTACAGTGATACAGAAATTATGCATTACTAGTTAAGAGTGTTTTATCAAAATCTTTTCTTTTAAATTCCCATTAACCAATTTTTTTAAATGAAATATGAAGAGCTATTATGAAAGATTCACTCTTCTACTTTTCAAAAATGTATTTTGTACATGTTATTCTACAAAAGAAGGTGTCGCATTTGATTAAAGCGAATTGAAAAGGGGGGATTTTGATAAAACACCCTGTATAGGTGACACAAAATTTGTGTCACTGTAAAAAAAGTTATAGCGAAATAAATTTTTTTCAGGAATCAAGACATACAGGGTGCTTACGTAAATTAATGATGCTTCCTCTGGGATAGTGCAAAATAGAAGACATGTTTGTCGAATTTTGATCCATCCAATATTCTCAAATTTTTTAAGAGAAATAAGATAAGATACGCTGTGAAATCCACAACAGGAAAAAGGGGCATATCATACATATGTATGTAATTGATATTAAGGGCAGTAGAAATATCACCATTATCACACATACATACCCACATAGAAATAAAAACGAAATGCACATTAACAAAAATTTTATTCATAGAATCTAAAACGTAAAAAATATGTCTAAAAATAAGTTACTTACCTATTAGATTTTGTTGCATTATATCAAGTTCTGATACAAATTCATTTAACAGAAATTGTAAACTACCAATAATAGGGTATTTACATAGAGAACATTGAGGCGGATATATATTATTAATTCTTGAAAATGCTTTTTTAAAGTTTAAACCTTCATTACTCACAGTTTAGTCAAGAAACTGATTTTTTTGAATACTTAATAGCCCGTATTTAGCGCCCCACTTTAACTTTAAAGTCTTGTCTCTAACTTGACAGTTTTATTTTGTTGTTATGGAGTAACTAGGGACTTTGTTTCCGTTAAAGTGACCCTCTAAAGCCATATTCAAATTTAAAGCGTGGCGCTGAATAAGGGCCAATATACTTCCCCATTTTATTGCAACAAAATTCATTTATCCTTAAGAACTACTAGTCAAACTGGCCATCAACAGCTCCATTTTATGTAAGAAATTCCTCCCTTCCATTTTATCCAAACGTACATCTCTGAACTGTCCTCCCAAGTGCTCCCATTTTCTCTCAGTTACCAAACGGCTCGGGAAGAAGTCCTGTCTCGGAGAATGCGCCACGGACACTTGAGTATCGGTAGATGGTTCGCATCGTACCGCTATAATCCTGTCGCCGGTAGGGGACGACAGAAGACAGGAACTGGCGTTTCCCAGCGGTTCCACAGTTCCCGTACCTAAGACCACAACAGAATTAGAATAAGCATTTCGTGTATTTAAAAAAAAATCAACGGACCTAAGTGATTGGAGTTGCCTAGCGCTTGCCAACCCATCGTCTTCGCCAAAGCCTGCACGGCCAAAATCTGGTGCTGATTAATGTGACAGAAAATTAAATCTCTCAACTCCTGCGGCTCGTAACTCATGTTCATCACTTTTCCATCTCGGCAAATGCACTTTAAACTTTTCTCGCCCACGTGGATTATCAAGGGCGTGCGACAAACGGCGTCGTAGCCGTGTGTAGAGATGTGTATCTTAACGCAAGACTAAAATAATGGCACAAACTGTCCGTTAATCAACGGTAGTCCACAAGGAACTGGAATTTACCTGTGTTGGACTATTTAATGTATTCCAATGAGATGTTATAAGAGGATCTTTAACTTCCTTAGCAATTGTATCCAATACATACTCTGTACGCATTCGCATTATGAAATGCTGGGCTTGCTGGACGATTTGTTCCAGAAGTGTCTGAGTTTTTGTCATTTCTAATAGCTCGTATCGATCTGCAGCCATTGGACCTGTTTATTAGAAATCGTACTGGTTAATTTGGCAATTCTTAATGCTGATTATTCTGGCTACATTACCTGCTAACATTCTTTTTTTTGAAGGTCCTAATGGTCCAGTAGCTGGATGAGGGAAAGGATGGTGAGTATTTTTATGATGTACTTCTCTTAATAATTGGTGCAGGGAATGTTCTAGAACGTGATCATGGTCGCTTTTAGACGGCGGAGGGTTTTGTTGTTTCTTATCGCTCGATGTTGAATGCCTTAAAGCTATAATAAGTTGAATACCTAGAAAAAAAATACAAATGTAACGTGGAAGAAATAAGTGTATGTATGTTAAATAATTATACCTGGTAAAACGGTCGCCATAATTTGATTTCCAACCACCATGTGCGGAACTGGGGCTTGTAATTGCACAGCCTCTTTGGCTAACTGATTAAATAGCTCCTTGCAAAATAACACATTTTGGGCCGCTTCTAATTTCTGTTGCCAGTGCATATCTGGATTCGTAGGAGGTGCTCCAGATCCAAGAAGCGTTAAATTGGCAGTACAAAGATCCTCTTGATCTAAACATCAACAAAATTATACAAAAACAGTCAACCATAATATACGAAACCATTACCTTTTTGACAAAGTACCTCGATGTAAGCTACACCTTGCAACTCAGATGGTATGGATACTCTCAGAGCGCTGGTAGGCTTGGCAGATGCGGTGCTTCCGGGAAGAGGACTGCTCGGTGGACTATTCGTTTTTTCTTCATCCTCGGCTTTTGTAACTTCAAATGTACCGGTTTGTAAATATTTAGAACCTGTCGTACGATAACTCAAGTCGCCTATAATCGTGTTAGAAACCTTCTTCAATCTCCAATTCTGCCTTAATCGAAGAAGTTCAATGTGAAAATCTAATGTAGTACGACTTCTTGCGGCTTCAGTCTGAGAATTTTTCATTTTTTCCGATCCCGCTAGTAAGACGCTAGCTGCCCCTGTAAGATACATGGTAACTAAAGAGAGTATTACAAATTTATTTGTTAACGTACCTGCCAGTGCTTTTTTCCTGGCATATATCTGAACCATTGGCTTTGTCTCCAATGTTTCCTGCTGAACAGGATCTAGTACCAAATACCTTTTGTCTTTGGCAATAGCTAATACATCTGCCAATACGCATACTTCCTGAAGGGCATTTCTTAGTTTATTTCTAACTGAATCCCAGGGCCATAAGGACGATTGAAAAGCCTCTTTGCTGTCTGTATCGGATTTGGAATCTTCATTTAATTCTTCCTTTTTTATTTCCAATTCAGTCTTGCTGAAGTCTATTTTTTGAGCATACTTAGCAAGGCTTTCGGATAAGGTCAAGGGACTGTAAAATTCATATAATTATTAAACCGACATTATTTATAATTCGGTTACTTACGGTTGGTATATTTCCGTTCCATCGTACGTTATTTCTTGAATTTGATTTTCAATAGGTGCTTCTACCGATATATTCACAGACATTGTAAAATTGATGAGTATATTATTAAGATATTTATGAGTAAATAAAAACGCTTAATTTTCTATTTTGATAACCATTTCTGTTTTTAATCTGTCAATTGTCATTGTCAAAAAAAACTTTTCTTCTTTTTCTTGTCATTAATAAAATTTTAAGATCTCAACATAAAACGTCAGTAGCTACATTCTAATTTTAGGTAAAAAAAATGAATTCAGTAAAAGAAGAAATACAAAACATATGACATTGACGTATGACCGGCTGGATTGTTTACATTAAAATTATAAAAATTTATATGTACAGATAAGATAATAAGAAGCCAAATCATAAAAGCTAAAATGGTTAACAAGGTAGCCGCTGGTTTTGTAATATTTCGTAGATTCACGCCAACGATAGAATACCTTCTATTACAAGCTTCCTACGGAATCCATCATTGGACTCCTCCTAAGGGACACGTAGATCCTGGGGAGACGGAACTGATGACTACGGCTCTTCGAGAAACTGAAGAAGAATCGGGCTTACTAAAATCCGATTTGAAAATATACATGGAATGTAAACGAGAGACAACGTACATGGTGAAAGGAAAGCCGAAGGATGTTCATTACTTTTTAGCAGAACTTATCAATTCCAAAGCCGAAGTAAAACTGTCCGATGAACACCAAGATTACAAATGGTTACCGTTGAATGAGGCTTGCACGTTAGCTTCATTTAAAGAAATGCAGGATACCCTCAAAGAATTCGATAATTATATTAAAGCAAATTTAAGTAAACAATGTAACTGTACTGATAATTGTTAATTTAACTAAATAGAAGTTTTAATCAGTCTCATTGGTCGACTACCTTATTTAGAATTAAAACACACAATCTGTTTTCTACATAATTTTATTGCAATTGTAGTTTTCATCAGAGTCTAAGAAAATAGAAATAGAAAAGTAAAAGAGGTAAAAAGAACATACAAAAAATTTGTAGTACAATTCCGCAGTAATAAATTCACATATGTGAAATATCTTTAAAAATAAAGAAATTTTTTTAATAATGAACGATGTAATAGGTATTTAGTCATTAAATTCTTATGTTATAATACCAATATATTCGATTTAATTTAAATCAATATTTATGATTTACAAGTTTATGCAGACAATACCTATTTCAATGACCAATGAACCTCTTCAACATTTCAGTATGTTTGAGGCATGTGAAACAATAAAACAGGAACAAATATCTCATCATTACTGACCAATTCAAGAATTTAACTTAAAATATCTCGATGCAATCTATAAATTCAGCTTAACATAATTTTAAAATAACCACAATTAAATAAATAAAAAAAAACATACTTCTTCGAAAAGGTATAGCACTTAACAATTCCATGCTAATGCGATGTTGAAAATTAAAATTAACCCTTTGCGTTTATAACATACGAAGCACAATATAACTCACTAATAATAACGTCGTACTCTTAAATAATTATTTTGTGAACTCTGAACTAGAGTTTTTTTGTAACAAAATAATCGTTAATTTTTGCACACCATAAATATTCCACATCAGAATATCAGTACAAAGGGTTATTTACAAAAACTCACAAAAGAACTCAAAATCCTAATTTTATGCAAATCACTTATATCCTAAAGTCTACGAAATCGTTTGGAGAACTTTAGTCCCTGCGTCTCGGTGGTCCATTATTCGGTGATCTTGATCTAAATCTATCACTATTGAATCTAGTACTTCCTCCTCTACTACTTCCTCTTGAGCTACCATTACTTCCGTAACCATTCCTCGGAAAAGAATCTCTCCTTCTATCAAAATCTCTTGATCCAAATCTACCTCCACTACTACTGCTGCTGCTGTGTTCCATTCTTCCTCCTCCTCCTCCACTGCTACCTCCATATCTTTCGAAACTACTATGACCACTTCCTCTCCTGCTACCTCGGAAACTGGTGCTACCACCTCTTCTGCCACCTCTGGGCCCCCCACGACGGGGTCGACCCCTGGCAATTTCTACTCGCAATTTAGCGCCCAAAAATTCCGTGCCATTTAAATTATCACATGCCGTTTCAGCATCGGTAAGACTGTTAAATTCGATAAAAGCAAAGCCCGGTGGATTGAATGCCACCCAAACGGAATTCAGCTTACCGTACTTTTCGAATTCACCTTCTAAGTCTTCCTTTTTAATAGAATCATTGAGCCCTCCGACGTATACTCTAGCCGTCCTGTCTCGTGACCTGTCGCCCATATTTCTGTGGAACGTAGAATTTCGTAGGTAATATTGCTATGTACTACTCGCTTGGGCGTATATGTATAAGGGTGGAAATTAAAAAATAATTCGGTTAATTTGCCGATATCATATTTCATGGAAAGCATTGTGATTTCACAACTAGAAACGGAATACTTAACTAAAATTGCGAGCCAACTGATCCCCAAGATTCAGTTTTGTCGATGTAAAAACTTTTTTGTGTGAGATAGTAAAACAAAATGTCGAAGCGCAGGGCGTCTATAGTAAGGTAGAATTATACAATATTCGCAGCGAAAACGTGAATTGTATGTTAAATATAAATAACTTGAGGGATTCGTAGATCCAAGAACTAGTTTTACGTGTAGTTACCCAAAATCGAAGCGATGCGGTGTACTCTTTTTTCGTAGAATAGAATCTGACACAACGTAGACAAAACTTCGACGTTACGTTGGCGACCATAAACAAGAAAATCGATTTTTGACAGTTCGTAACGGAAGGAAATTAACATTGTCTAATTACCAAAATTTTTCACATGTTGCCATATTTCTTCTATATATCTTCTTTTTAATATAATGTATACAGGTCGTACGAACTGATCCGCTGCAAGCATTAGAATTAGAATCTCAATCAATACTATAAGATAGTAAAGAACAGAAACTTGTTTATCGATTGCCGGCCGATATTAGAATTCGTCAATTCGCTTCGCTTCGTCCACTAGCGAATAGCGGGGACAGCGGGCGTGATTATTTCGTATGCTCTCTTTATTCCTTACATAGGAAAAGTTCAATTAGCTGTCTCATAATTCTCATTGTATGCTTGCAGCGGATCAGTTCGTACAATCTGTATATTTAATTTTAATGAAACCAAATAGCACTGGATGTTAAGGCCATTGAAAATTGTAAAGAATAAATGATCAACTGGCAACTCCGGGCATCATTATTTTGATTGGTCTGATTTTCCCGGGTTCTCTATATCAGCCAATCAAATTGCGCACAGACGACGTATTTTTAAAGAAATAGTAGGAGGTGAAATTGTTATTGGATTTTGTTAATAATATCTCTCTTTTTCCTTTCTCGTTAATTAGAAAGGGCTTACCGAAAGTGTAAGAAATTGCATCTTATTTTTTGAAGACTTCTTGATATTTCATTTTTTATTCGTTAACGCCGTTATTGTGGCTGTGAGCTTTAATTTTGTCTTTAATTTTGTTTGGTGTTTCTAGTTTGTATTATACGATTTCACGCCGTCTATCATTTGGCTTTTTGGCTAGTTTCTTTCTATTTCTTCAGATTGAAACCGAAAATATGTATATTAAACAGGTAAGTGCTTTTATTTATTTATTAGTTATAGTCGATGATGAAAAAAAAATTGTCTATGGCGTCATTTACTTCAATATCAGTATCATTCCTTGAAAATAAGTTTAATGTACACAGGTATATTGAAATTTATAAATGTGGTAGCCAAAGCATTTGTCTAATTATTTGAAATTATTGGTCTTATTATTGGTCTTATAAATCATAAAATGTATGTACCTGTAACAAAGAAACAAAAATATCGTAGTAGGTCGTCGTAATACATTTTGTAATGTTTTTTAATTAAAGAAGAATAAAAAAACTATTTGCAGTATTGCAGTAGTACAAAAAGAAATTGCACTATATTAATAATACTATAGATAAAGCATTAATAATTAATAGTGCAATTTGTTATATACAGGTAGATGCAAAATTGTTCCTATTATAGGCAAAAGAAAAAAGAAAGAGTGATTTGTGGGATTGCGACTTTCTCACTCTAACCACTGCTATTTTTATAATCTTTATTAAACTCTTAGATTTATTGACCATATTGCAAACGAAGTTGCATTTAAAAAGTGAATTTGATATTTTTGAAGTTACATCTCCATAAAATTCTAACGCCCGCCTTATTTGGGACTGATGATTTCTATACCTAAGCAGAAACAATTAAAAAACATTCTTATTTGTGGTTTATATAATATTTATTCTGTAATTTGTAATACTTTCTCGATTTATTTCAGGTCATATTAGAAGGATTCAAGAGCTACAAAGAGCGAACTGTAGTAGACTTGGATCCAAATCTGAATATCATAGTTGGTCAAAATGGTTCTGGGAAATCTAGTTTTCTTCTTGGTAAGTTTCCTAGTCGTCTCTGTAAGACTCGGCATAGAATAAGGGCATATAGGGAAATTCAGTATATTGTATTATAACTTTTAACGCACATAAACGCCATAATCCCTATATCCTATGTGCCACTTCTATTCTCTTTCATATAATATATCTAATCTCCATTGTTTCTCTTCCCAGCCATCCAATTTATCGTGGCGGAAAAATATTTTAATATGCCCCCTGGGTTAAGAAAAGAACTCATGCATAATGACAGTGTTGAGACTGCAGAAGTTCTACTAATATTTGATAATTCCGATAATAGATTCCCCGTGAGTAAACTTTTACGTCCTTCCTCTGCCTTATAAGAGCCGCAACGATGAATTTAATATTTTCCCGTTTTCTTTAGATGAATAAAACCGAAGTTACTTTGAAACGTGTGATCACTTCCAATACAGACAACTTCTTTCTTAACGGAAAAAGAACCAACAAAGCTGAAATAAAGAAGTTGTTGAATGCAGTCGGAATTTTTTCATCAAATCCGTTTTTCATTATAGAACAGGGGACGGTAATAACATAAATTATATTTACTCATTTTCTAACTCGATATACAGGGTGTCCCGTATAAGAACCGACATAGGGCAGGGGAGTGTAAGGGAGCCCAAAATATACTGTTTGAGCCAACTTAATTTAATACAATGTTACATTCCTGAGAAGTTATAGGTCTTCATAGACGAGTAACAAATTAAAAAAAATATCTGGTAATACTCGAACTTAAGATAAATAAATTTGGTATGCCTACGTTATGAGTGTAGTAGGAGCATTAATCGATAGTTGAGAGAGATAAATTGGTTTATTTTAAAGGGTTCATTAGGTGTGATGCTCCCCTAAAATATGAACGAATTTTTTAACTGATGGACGATTAAAAAATTATGAGTTCATTTCATCGGTAATTTCATTTTAAAATTTATTTGTTTTTTTAAATTCATTGGCCCGTATTCAGCGCCTCACTTTAACTTTAGCGTGACTCTAAAGTCGCGTCTCTAATCCCTAGTTACTCAAAGTTACCCTAGTTACTCCATAACAACAATTTAAAACTGTCAAGTTAAAGACGCGACTTTAGAGTCACTCTAAAGTTAAAGTGAGGCGTTGAATACGGGCCAGTGTCAATTACTGACCCATATTCAGCGCCTCACTTTAACCTTAAGCACGACTTAAAAGTCGTGTCTCTAACTTGACAGTTTTATATTGTTGTTATGGAGTAACTAAGAGACTTTTGTTGCGCTATATTTGAACTATCTGTTTTTATAGATAAACGCAGTTGCAACATTTCCTCCGACCTTACGATATGAAATTGTTAGGCAATTGGCGGGATTAGAAAAAAGTAACAACGCACAAAATTTTAACGATCGCATCGATAAAATAAAAATAAAAATTGTACACGCCCAAAGAAAGTACGATTGTATCAGAATATCCTACGAAGAAATTAAGGAAGAATCAAAAGCAGTTAAAATCGTCCAAAATTACGATAGAAGACTCGTTACCATTAATTATGTCCTCACCGAAAGGCAATTGGAGGTTGACAAAAAAGCAATAGGGAAGGTGAGTAAAAACTTCCAATATAATTTGTTATTCTGCAAATGTGTTTGCGATATGGTCAATTCTATGAGTTGAAAAAAGATTAATTAAATATCAGTGGTTGGAACGAAAAAGTTGCAATCCCTCAATGTCACCCTCTTATTTTCCTCTGTTTGAGACTAATGGAAGTTGTCTTTGTTGCACCCATATTTCAAACAATTTTGCATCTACCTGTAAAAGCTTTGTGCCCAATGCAGCTATATGTATTCCCTTTAATTGCAGTTGACCCAACAAATATCCGAGCTTACCGAGAAGAAAGAGTTGTACGAAACGGAATTGGCAGGTTTAGAAAAAAACGAAAAACAATTCCAAAAACGCGTTAAAGTTATCGATAAGTTGTTGCCCATAAAAGAAATGGAGTTAAATGGTTTACAAAAAGAGCACGAAGTTTGCTTAAAAGAAAAAACTAGTTTGAAAATGACGATTGAAGAATTGAAGCAGGAAACTCGGGCCAAAGGCGAAATGGATGCAAAGTTGGCCCAACTCGACTCCAAATGCGCGAGCAAAAAGAAGAGACTTGACCAGGTTAATTGGTTCGTATTTCTTCGTGAATTATTTTCACATCCGTCGTTTTTCGCAGATGCAGTCCCGGTACGTCGAGTTGCGACAAAAGGAAGAAAGCCATTCGCGCGAATTGTCCAAATTCGAGCAACAGCGGGATATTTTACTGGGCAAGCAAGGCCGCAGCGGTCAATTCGATTCGAAGGAACACAGGGATGCTTGGATCAACGAGCAAATACGAATTTTAAAAACTCAAATAAGCGATAAAAAGGAGTTGCGGGAAAAAATATCGAGAGGCTTGGAGCTCGATCGTCGATCGGTTTCCAAGCTAAAAGAGAAATATGATGAGGGAAAAACTAAATTGGAAGAATACAAAACGTCGTCCAGCCAATGTGATAAGTTGCTTTTCGAATTGAATGGTGAAGTGGATAAAATCCGAAATGACATGAAGTAAGAATTTGATTTTCAGTCATGAGTCATGATTGTGTTCAAAGGGGTTTTGAAATTTTTACATATTTCTCTTTGACTATTTTTCTTATTCGGGGGTTTTGTAATTGCTTTTCATTCATCATTTTATTGCTTATAACTTCTCAGGAATGTAACATGTTAAGTTGGGTTAAACAAAATATTTTGGGCTCCTATACATGCTCCTGCTCTGTATCGCTTATGCGGAACACCCTGTATCTTCAAGTTGAATGACAATAACAGATATTTCCATTTAAAGTTCCGGTTGCTTTATTGTTGCTTCATCATACATTATTTTTCAGCAATTTCTGGTACAGAAAGCGAGAGAAAGAAGAACAACTTTCGATGTTCAAAGAGCAAGTATCCAAAGCGCATCAAAAATTATCGGGAAAGATCGCCAAATCCATTATGAATGGAATCGAGGGCGTTCATAAGGTTTTGGAAGAATTCAAATCTGGCGGAGAAGATGACATTACTAAGCACTACTACGGTTTGATAATCGACATTTTCCATTGCGATGAATCTCTTTATACAGCCGTCGATGTCGTCAGTAAGACGAAACTATTTTATCACGTCGTCGAATCGAATCAAATAGCTACGTCGATTTTGAAAAAATTCAATGAAATGAAATTACCCGGAACTCCGTACTTCATGCCTTTGAATAAACTGAAGGTAGAAGAAATTACTTATAAAAAAGTGGGACCTGTAAGTTGAATTGAAGCAATTTCATAATGTTATTTGTAGATGTAAATAGTGTACTAGAAATATTTACCTGTACTTAGTATAAGAGATGATTTTGAGACCTAATTTTTTCATGTTGTTTTCCTTTTATTTAGAATAAGCCGTTACTGGACTGTTTAAATTTCAATCCGAAATTTCGCAAAGTGATGCTCTATATGTACAATAAAATATTGCTTTGTTCCGATAACGATACTGCCAGCAAGACGGCAAGAACTTCTAGAATGAATTGCGTTACATTCGATGGAGGATACATACAATCAAACGGTAAATGATGATGAAATTGTAAATGTCTTATCTCGACGTTCCATCGCACGGCTATTGATCACAGCGACAATTCATCACTACCACTATTCGTCACTACGACTATTCATCACACCTAGTTTAAAAAAATATGTAAAATAAAACAAGACTTTTGGGGACAAAACTATCTCATGGTCATTTTCCCATGACGGTAGAAATTAGTTCCTATTCGTTTTTTTGGATTATTTCTAAACATTTCAATTTTAATGACTATTTCATCACATATTTATTTACACATGGTTCAGATAGAGTGTAGAAGCAAGTGAATACTCGCTTGAAATACTTGCAGTTTTTTAGTATAGCTGTAGCTTTGTCAGGAGGCCCAATGCAGCTAAAATATTTTCAACTCTTCCATTTCCAGCTATATTCCGGAAGTAATTTAGAACTTAAATAAAGAATCCAAAAACGAATGAAAACTAATTTCTACTGTCATGGGAACACGACCATGAGATAATTTTGTCCTCAAAAGTCTTGCTTTATTTTACATTTTTTTAAAGTAGGTGTGATGAATAGTGGTAGTGATGAATAGTCAGCGAATCGAAAATGTAGGTACATACTAATTTTTTTGTCGTTAGGAGTTTTATCTGGAGGGTATTTAAACCAAGAGAAATTGTTCATTACTTTGTATAAAACGTACGTCTCGGCAAAAAAGGAGCAAACGATCAGTGAAATGGATCTAAAAGCACTTGATAATGATTTTCAAGATCGTAAAAGGACATCTGAAAATATCCAGCATCGAATTCAGCAGATCGCTAATGAAAAAACTCAAGCAGAGGTAAGAGTAGACACTTAAATATTTCACTCGTTTTATCTCATTCATTTTTATACCACATTTGTCTGATCTTATCATACCTATCGATTTCAAAGGATTTAAAGTACTTATACCAGTTGTTTAATTGATAAATGTACAAATTCTAACAGTAGGGCAACTCAAGTGATCGATTCCAAGGCATTCACTACGACTATTCTTTAACAAACAAGACTTGTATTCTAAGTTAAAATAATTTTTATAGCGAATGGTCGACGAATATAAAGCAAAAGTTGGTTCAGTTAAAGAAAAATTGTCGAATTTGGAGATTTCGATAAGAACGAACGAACAGTTACTGGTAAAGTACGCGGAAGACATTGAAGACTTTGAAACGAAACAAAGGGCTTTCGAACGGGAGTTGCAACAGGATTTTCTGTCCCAACTATCCTCTCAGGAACAAAAGGAAGCCGATGATCTGCTGAACAATATACAGGTTTTGAAGAAAACCGTCGCAAAAGCTACCACAGACCGCATGATGTTGGAAATCGAAAAGGACAAAGCGGAAAGTGAACTTTCCAAATACACACGGTGAATATTTATTAAATGTTCCTTAATATTGCTTAGTAAAGTTTTAAATTTCATTTTAGCCTTTACCCTCATTTGGAAAAGGAAAAGAATCAAATAACCTTAAACGAGGAAAAACTTGCCCAAAAGCTCATCGAAAAAAGGAATATAAACGAAAAAATTAACCAAATCAAAGAAAAAATTCAGTCCGTGGAACTTTTTATTAAAGATACAGTCGATGGGGTAAGTTTTTGAATTGGGCGGTTTGTTTCTAGTTTTGGAACTGACGAATTTTTATTTTGATACTTAGAAACGGCAGGAATCCGCTGATAGAGAAAAATTACTTGAAAAATTAGATTACACTAAGGAACAAATGGAAGAAATTACCTTGCAATTAGCGAAGGTCACTAAGAAAGAAGCAAGTGTAAGGGACCGGATTGTGGATTGTGAAACAAAATTGAAGAACGAGGTTTTTTTCTCGCGAGAATTACATACTGAATATTCTGCTCTAACTGACGCTTTGGTGAGACATATTTTGATTTTGTACTTCTTTTTATAAGATTTTCGAATTCTTATTATGTATTTTAATTCGCACGGTACCTAAACGAGTACATTGTAAACTATTTCGTTTTTGAGATTTGTTTGTTTGATATGACTAGAAAATATTAAATATCTATTTTTTTAGTTGTTTAAGGAAAAGGACGGTCTAGTTAAAAAAATAAAAAATCTAGATCATTGCGACAAAAAGTGCTTACGTTTCCTCGACTTTTATTACCAGAGAGAAGCGTTATACAAAAAGAAATTAGGAGAATTCAACGTTTGGTAAGTACAGCACAATTATACAGAAATGCGGCATATTCCAATAACGCAATTACTCCTCAGCTTTGAGAAATGTCAAGAGTTGGTTGCAAAACAAGAACATTGTACAATGGGACAATTAGAGTTCACTTTGGCCCAAATTCGAAGATATTTCGAAGAGATATTCAGGAAAATCGTGCCCGAGGGCTCCGGCAAGGTGGTCTTCTTGCGTGTTCATGAAGACTCCGAGGAGACAAATGCCATAAGAGGAATCGACATTAAGGTTTCATTTAACAACATCGCCCCTGAAATGCAGAGTATTCAACACCTTTCTGGCGGACAGAAAACGCTTATTGCCTACGTGTTTATATTGGCCCTTCAAAAATGCGATCCCGCTCCTTTCTATGTACTAGACGAAATCGAACAGGCTTTGGAATCTAAATACAGGTACGTTTTTTTTTTCATCTAAAGCTCTATTGGTTCTTATTTACTTGTTTGTTGCGAACAGAAGCGTTATGGCAAAAATACTTCGGCAAGTATCCACCGAATCACAATTAATAGCAACTACATTCAATGCCGATTTACTGGAGTACTCCCGTAAATGTTTCGTCGTTCAGTATTACAACAAATTATCGAATATTACAGAAATTGCCCAACAGAAAGCGATTCAATTCGTCTCGAGAGTATAACCTTTTGAAAGTTTTGCTTTGTTTTAGGGAATTTTTTTATCAATTTTTTAATGTTATTTCGTGTTTTATGTTTTTCCGACGTACTGTTTAAATTTTTATCTATATTATTAGCAACGTTCTTGTTCATAATTTTCGTTTATTTTTGAGTTTCATTAATCGTTGTTTTCTCTTCCCTTCGAATACTCGAATACTTTAAGTTTTGTGTTCAAATTTTCGTAATAAAAGTTCTTTTGCCGTTTCGTTACGTTTCTCTTTTAGAATACATTTTGGTTCAATTCTTTTGAAAAAATAAAAATTTTGGGCCAACCTGGTATGTTTCTGTCAGCTATAAAACATTAACGAGTTGAGATTTTTAAGGTTTTTATAAATAAATACTACATTCAAGAGCACTGAATGTTTTATTGAAAATAGATATATTTACATGTAAGAAACTCATTACATAATAGGAAATTAGTCAAAATTAAGATACTAGGCATTAACCGAGTGCAAAATTTTAAAAATTAAAGATTAGAAGTGTAGAAGATATACATGGCGTCCCCTTATACACACTTTTCAATGTGTCTCACATATGAATTTAATCAAGTGTTTTGAAAAAAATATATAAGCAGGTCTTTACTATGTTAGTTTGCCCGCATGGAATACTTTTAAATTAAATTAAAATAATAGCCAGTTGATGTTAATTTTGTTTATAAAATTTGGGATACCTGCATATTTGAAATTACAATGACAAAAAATGATATTGCACAAAAACTCCTTTACATTACAATTAAAAAAATTATAGCAAATACCTAAATAATTATTACTCTATCAAGATATTTTTTAAGATAAAATTGGCAGTGCATTATTTTTATTCCACACAATGAAAGTCTATGTCTAATTTGAAGCTTTTTCTCGACATCTATCATAGCTCTTTTCATTTGTGTCAGTACATTTGGGACCCATATCAAACATACATACATCAGGAGCGTTTTGAACCAAAGAATACGTTTAAATTTTTTCAGTTTTATGATCTTTGGTTTTTTCTTCAATTATCATATATTCGATGACTCCAAAATTTATTATCTGCGCTGTTTTGTTGAATATTTAATTTCATCTTTATTAAAATGGTTAGTTAAAATAAAAATGTACGTATTCCTTGGTCGCATATCAAAACTACTTATATATCTTAATAGTATTGCAACATTTAATAATTATTTAATCCATAGACATTAAAGTGGTTGTAACAAAAAAACATTAATAATTTTTTTTGCATTATTATACCGACATGTATGATTCAGTCTGTCGATATATTGCCGTAGAAGGAATTTTCTAACTACTTTTCAACAGATATCCAAATGATTTTAGTGTTTATAAGATATTTATTTAGTCTTAACATTATTATTATAATTATTATCATCGTTTACATACCTACTATAGTGTGTATCAGATGTGTGTCATTGGAAGCATTTTTCCAATTGTATCCAACAAAGTTAAGTATCTGGATATATTAATTTATTATACATGAATATATTTGAATTTTTCTCATTCGAGTCGAAATTGATTTAATACATTCATTAATTTAGGTATTTCGAGGTTCTTATAATAGACATTTAATTTGGTATTACCTAGTACTCAATGTTTTGACACACACAATATAATATTACTAGAAAGACTGTAATTTGCAGCTGGTTTTTTAATATTAAGTGAAAACTGTTTTAGTAACAGAGGATTTAAATGGACAAAGAAAAAGAGGCTACAAATTCTAGTCTAACTGTTTCAATATATTTAGGGTCTTTGGTAATTACTTCAAAGAACATGCAAGAAAATTGATTTGTTTTTATAAACACTAATTTCGGGAACATTTTCCCATCAGTACTGCTTACGAATGTACTTTGATTTTCTGAGCACACAATCAATTATCTCGCCTATCCTTTTATTTATAAATATGAAGCATTTCAGTGCCCAAAAACTAGCAATATATAAAAAAGCATAAATTTAATCGTTAATCCTAATATAATATGTATATTAAAAAGTCAAAAATATTAACATTTATAGATATACATACATCCACACATTTATGTACATCTTAAAAACTATCTAAACAAAAAGATTTATTCTTGTTTGTTACCATTGCTTTTATTTCAAATTGAATATACACAAAGTTAATTAACACTAATTAAATTTGGTAATTTTACTTAAATGATTTGTATATATTCAATTTTAAATTATTACTTTCTCATACATTTTAAAGTGCAGCAAACTAATGAAACGGAATGCTAAATAAAACCTAGCATTGTCTAATTATGATTATCACCAACATCAAAAGAAACTGACCAGTTTTCTCATTTTGCTGGTCAAAGAAGAGTCAAAAACAACCTGCTATTTCTTATTACCCTTGTGTCCCGTGTCCTCTTAAACATCATAAGAATTAAGTTCAAATAATTTCAATAGTACAGTTGTTTTTAACTACCGGATGACTATTAATAATTGCGACTTTTCCAAATATGTTGGTAAAAGAGAATAGTAAGAGACTCTTCTATGTAATAGTCTTGATCATTTTTAGTCACCCAGTGCAATGCTTCCATTTAATGCCAGCTCTATTGCGTACTTTCGTACGACGTATCTGAAATGCTTCAATTTCTTGAGTCAAATTCGCTACTTATTAGGACTCCAATAATTTGCCAAATTCAACGAATTAAGATGGTAGCGTTTTCACTTGAACGGGCAAATTTTTAGTATCAGATACTTTGGTGTATATTATTTACAACTTTTTCACTAAAGTGAGAAGATTGTAACGGTTCTAGGTCTAGCTAGATGGATGACAATTTAATTTCTTACAATGTATACGACAAAAAATGTAAAGCTTTTACAAAGAGGGCGGTGAATATTCATTATTGTTTCGTTACAAAAAAATATGATAGATGCATTCAGTTAGTATAAAGAGTCGTAATAGAAGATTAACCATAAAAATGCACGGTGAAATAAATCAATTTTTACATCATTTTATACACATAGTGATCTTTAAAATACCGACTTGAATAAACTCCTACAAGAATCAGCGGCGAACAGAAAGATCAAGGATTTTATAATTTTAAAAAACACCCTGTATATAATATTAAATGCACGTTTGTTCGAACAACTCTTTACAGAAACCCTGTACGACGCTCTTCGAAATTTCGAAATCGATCATCGATTTTAAACAAGCAGGTATATCGAAAGCGCCATCATCACCATATTAGACCCTAAGACGTAAGCGGAGCTTACTTGGATATCACTTTCCTTTAGGAAGGGAGCGTCGATTACGTGGATGATTCCGTTCGTACATTCGACGTTCGGACGGAAAACTGGAATTTTTTCTCCTTTCCATATTATGACGAATGCTGCAAAATTAGAATCCAATTAGAATAAACTCATCTCAGTTCTGCTATGCACAAATCGGTTTCTAGAGAGCGTCTGAAATCTGGGGTCATAAAATAATTAATATACAGGGTGTATCTAAATAATAGCGAAAAACTTCAAGGGGTGGTCCTGTGATGAAAATAATAGGGGTATAATTTGACTTGGTATATTTTTTTAACCAAGTTTTTTTTGGTTGGCTGTTGTTGAATAAAATGCGCTTGAGCTTGCATGAGCTTGCAATTCATTTATTTTATTTTTCTCGTAGATGCTTAAAATTAAAAAAAAAATGTGGATAAAAAAGTTAGAAAATGAATTGAGCTTCAGCAATATTTAAAAAATATATCTAAAAAAAGTTGTAAGAAAAAAAATTATGGGTTAACTATTTTAACCCCTTCTAAACATACTCCAGGGTTGAAAAGGGAAAATAAAGAGAAGAGAAGTCTTTTTTTTCAATATTCCGAGGGTTGTAACATTTCTGGGGAGGGTTTTTTTCAAAAAAAATTATACCAAGTACCCAGTAATTTTCATCACAGAATCATCCTTTAATTCTTTTTCGGTGTTATTTAGATACACCCTATAGATTAAGGCAATATCAATTATGTAAAATTTAGAGTATTCTGTTGGGTGCAAAGTATTCAGACACCCTGCAGGTAACCCAAAACTAGCGTTTACCAAACTCATTTCAATCTACTTTTACTCTTGTACTTTATTCTCGACCATTTTACCTACTGGGCAGGTTTTGTCCAAATCAAAAATATTTTTGTATCTACCAATCACTCACACACTTTTCTAATTGGGTGCAGGTTTTTACAAATGCTGTGAATACTCAATTACATATTCGCCTAACAATAATTCGTAATTTTTGCAATTTAATACACAAATTTTTCAAAACTAAAAAACCGAATAACAAGCCAATTTCCCTTTTTACAAAACTTACATGGATTACCAGATTCTGGATTAACTGTAAAAAACAAAAATGTAACAAGAAAAATAATTCAAACTTAACTTTTTAACAGTTCTTTCGGCGAGTTTAAACATTTTTGGAGTTATTTTTTTATTATCATAATATCAGTACTCACTGTTATCTTGTCGTTCTTCGACATATAATTTTAAAGATCCTCTAACTGTGGGTAGTTCAACTTCGCGTTTTCCATAAGTACCTAAAGTGTTAGTATCGTTAGAGAGTTGCTTGATTCTTTCCATCGAGTACGATTCTGATGCGATTACCAAGTGGCGTTCAAGTGTCGAAGTTGCCTAAATAAACAAATCATTGATTATTCTTAACTATTAATCAAATTTAAGGAGTCATTCGACCCTAGAATTGCTTAGCTTGGAGTAGGACTTTGTAATCTTTAAACAGCGCTATGCTATTCCGGGTACTATTTTACAAAAAGTTGTGATTCAATTTCAATATATACTCACGTGATATGCATACTCCTTCATGAATATCGTCTTAATAGCAGTGGGCAATCTCACCCTAGCATCGTACCAGGCCTTTTCACGGGGTACGAAATACGTGAACCTCTTTCTCGTGTCATTCAATCGATAATTAAAGCCTTGCAAATTTCCCAGGTAGTATGACGATCTAAAAACCACGAGAAAATTAACGCGTATTGTTAGGTACAATCACAAGGCAACATACTTCAGCATAGGATCTGTCCTCAGTTTATCCAATACAGTACTGTATGGTACTCCCAAAACTCTGTCTATAACGTGAATGATCCCGTTAGTAGCGGCCAGATCGGGTTGGATCACCGTGGCATTAACACCACCTCCTTCTACTGACAGTGTTCTATTAATGTCCGTCGATAAAACGTTGAAGTACAGATTTTTTCCTTTGTTCAGCGTACTCACTTGAAGAGGCTAAAGATTTTAAAACAAAGTGGCTCAATAGTGCGCTTCAAATTGAATTCAAACACACGATAGCTTCATTTTGCTTCAATAGAGTTAACATTATTGAGAATTAAACCAAATATTTATTTTAATTTTAGTTTCAAAAGTTATATATTATCTCAGGCGCGAGGAGGTGCATAATATACACATTAGGGACGGGGCTCTCCACGTTCTATGCGCTGGACATTTAATCCAATCGCACAGTATTTAAGTAAAGTCCGTTGGACGTTTATAGGATTAGAATACTCGCTGTATAGAAAGGGAATTCTAGTAGATACAAATTTCATTAAACCTGCTTGCATTAATTCTGTTTCTCCCTTTCTACCATCGTTAATCAACAACGATTTTAATATTTTATGTTTTATGTATATTAACAGATCAGGAACCTTACAACACACATAAATTGATAAGTAAAATTTCTTGAAGTTCGATTCACCTGTTCTACTAACATTTTAAATAAGTAAATAAGAAAAGTTTCTCTTCAAAGTTTATACCATTCGGCACGTGCTTTAATTATACCATAGTATCAATGAGGACTTACCCTAATTTGACTTTCTTGCCAAATCTTATCCACGTAAAGCCTGTTATCGACGACCAGGTGCATTTTGAGGATATCCATAAATCTAGGGGTGTCCCTCAGAATGGCGTTCAAAGTTAAATCGCCTTCGAGAGCTCTATTGCAAGGAGCGAACAGAGTAATGTCGTGACCTTTGTCTAACGTTCTTAGAAACTCTTCTCCCGCAGGACCAGCGTCTTTGATGGCGTTGAAGAAATTGCTGAGAATTCTTCCATCTTGTTCCTAAACCAAAAATAGATTAATTCAAGAGGATCTGAAAGACGATTTTATTGTTAAGGCAAATTTGTTTAACTATAATGTTGAATAGATAATATAATTAGCCAGTGGTAATACGAATATTGGTAATAGCAGTTCTTGTATCACAAGTAACGTTAGCGAGACAAGAACTGAAATTTACCAGCTCAACTTTAAAATATGCTTTTACCTGCGTTAAAATTAACGTACGTTATTTTATAAACGTGTGTTCGTTACATTGTCAATTCTTGTTGCATTTATCGCTACAAGATAGCAACTTTTATTCGGGTATTTCAATTTTAACGTACGCTAAAATTAAATTTACAAAATAGCCTGCTATAATCTACAAATTAAGTCTACTTTAAATAAACGCAAACAAATCTACTTATTTAGAATTCGACATAAATAATTAATCAAATTAATATATTTAAAAGCTTATTAAATTGTTAAACTTTCTCGGGAGACTAAAATATGCATATGCTAATCCAAGAACAAGAATATTTAGATATGAATTATAATTGGAACATTAATGCTACTATATTATTTTCTCTTCTTCTTTATCAAGTGTTTCGCGTAGTTCATTTAATTTATCTGTAATATAAATAACCTTTATTATCCTAGCCAATATTTTAAAAGGGCAGGTAACCTTTATTAATTCTTTCAATTAATCACGTAACGAGGATTTAGCCACAAATAAAACAACAGAAACCCAAATCCCACGAATTTACTACGTTCAATATATTTTTAACGCTATTGGGAGATTAAATTCGGATATTTAACGGATGAGGTTTGTTTCATAAAATATACCTACCTCTATCGATTTTAATTAATCCAATGGTACATAAATAGCTGCTTTATCGATCAAAATGGACTTAAATTTGTGGTAAATTAGGGATTAGAAAGGGAAAATCGTCTAAGTTCATAATGGGGTCCAAGCCCCTGTTAAAGGAATGAATGGATAAATCCTATTGAAGTCTAAATATACATATCTATATAGGATATATCTAAATATATCCTATTAAAATACTAAATATACATATAAGGCGAAAGGCAGATCCTTCGTACTATTTTGGACTATTTTTTCAAATTTTAGAATCTTCATCATTTTTAATGAACGAAAAATGCTCCATTGTTTTCTGTGTTGTTTTTAATTTAGTCCGCGCTTCTACCATTATTTACCTTTATTAGAAAAAAACTCACCGGTTGGTGTGGAAATTTATGCGGAACGCTAATTATTCAATGTACGAATAGTAGATATATTTCAGGTAGGTAATTTAGGATAGTTTATTACCCGATGCGCGATTGCGATTAATGGAATAGTCAAAAAACAATTTTTGCTGACAGAATTTTGTCATTATACTAATATAAAAATGTTAATTAAAATATTATAAAAAAATTCACCACCGCTAATAATAAATATTTAATCAATTAAAAGTTTCTATTTTTTACCTCCTACTACTCTTTATAGTAGTTTTTTTAGTTTATTTATAATATCTAAATTACTTCGTTCATTCTGTAAAAGGTTATCAATTTTTATCATTATTTTCAATCAAATGCCAGATAGATCCGTTATTTTTTATTTGGGATTATAGAGGCCCTTGGGATTATAGACCTTCCTTTTTTGGTATTAATTTTAAAGTGCAATGGTCTATAAATTGGTGTTTAACATCCGTAATTTCACTAAGTGCATAGAACACTTGCATTATTAATACAAGCAACAAACACAACATTCGGACTAGTTTCCGTGCAGAACAAGACAACATTTAATAATTAAAACACTCTAAATTTACCTGATATTGCTGCAGTTTCCAAGAGAAAGGCAAAAAATTATTGAATTGAATCATTTTGTACTTTTCTTCTTAGATTAAAAAAATATCAGAAAATCATATTTATATAATGTATTTCTTCTTGGACTATTTTTTATATTTAAACGCATTGAAAAAATATAATTTTCTGAAATTTTTGATTACTTTTTTATCTACATTCAAGTGTTACTTTGTACGTGTTACTGTTTAGCTACATGTGGTATTCTGTAAATTATATTTACATCGTTTGTATAATACAATTTGATCGGTGAGATTTAATGATCGATTATATTTCTCAAATATGACTATTTTCTCATTAAAACTCATCGTTCACATTTAAATGCATTGATTTCACAAAACAAGTAGAATATTCCTGCTATTGTCATGCATACTATACCACGAAATTGGTACAAATTGGTCAAGAGAATGCTATATTAGGAATCCCTTTACCTTTTTGCAAAAGCCCCATTAACTATATTGTTAGTTGAAATTGCACTACATTAGTCAGAGGCAAGCCGTTGACTCGAAGCCGAAAATCAAAGGTTAAAGTTAGCTCAGAAATTTTAAAACTTTTTGATTAAACTCCATGAAATATTAATGAATTTGGTTTCACAAATCAGACGGCGGAAAAGAGAGCGAGAATATTGGTAATTTCATAGCTACTTTTTGTTGGTTTTTGTAATTCCATCTAAGAAGTCTTAATTAGTTATGAATTAATTCGTTTCTGCGTTTCTTTTAATGAACAGTTGCGAAATGCTCCGACGGAATTAATCAAGTTGTTTTTAGGAAAGAGTAGAGTTTGCAGAGTGTAGAATATTTTATTCTCTACTCGAGCAGCAGCGTTTAAAGTGCGTTCAGGTGTTCTTGAAGCTTTTATGTTGAAAGATGCGCGGTAAGGATGAAGTAAATTACTTTTTGTAACGTTTTCATTGGAAACTTTTAAACTTTCCAACTTAAACTATTATTTAGGAATTAATTTATATTTTCATTTGAACGCGGTGCAAGTTGGCCGTAAATAAACAACAACCGATTTATTTTAAATCGATTTAATAGCTCGAGATTTAGTAACTCGTTTTCTAAAACTTTTGTGCTGCTACCCTGCTTCGAACGAATTTTAATATTTAATCTGAATTTGCGGTGCTTAGATAAAGCGCTAGATTTCCTGGAAACTTCGGCCAAACTATAGCCGTTAAAATATCGGAAAATAATAGGGAAATCCTCTTGAACGAATACTTAACTTGGGATTAAACATGCATGTACTTAGCGATTTTGATTAGATTTTGTACCAATTTTTGCTGATTAAGCAAAGTGCTTTTATACCCGTTTTTACAAGCGACAGTCTATTATTTTCATCTATCATATTTACAGGGTTAATAGTTCATTTCTCGTATACGTATAATATTTCAGTCTATGTCTGTTTTTGTCACTTAAATAGATCACAAAATACGCACCGGTGGAACTACAGAATACCACATATATGCTTCACAAAAGGCGTATGTATAAAACAAAAGCTGGATAATAGACCCACAGACAAAACGATACGGTAAAGGCCAGAAGCGTCGCAAAATTGGGAAATTTAGACCTCTCTCAAAATTATGCGCAATATACTGATGCTAATTAAAAAAAAAACAACATGAACAGCTCTATCAAATTGGCAATTAAAAATCCGTCAATCAATCATTAACGACAGAAATTTTCGTAAATAAATAGTACGTACAAATTGATGTACGTGTGCTGGAATTAGCAGATAATTTTAACTATGCTGGAATTAGCAGATAATTTTAACTATTAGTGCATAAGTCCCTTTTTTAAATTATTGATAGGTAGAAAGTAAAGAAATAGGGAATTGGTAATGTAATTTTTGACATTGATTGTCTGATATCAAATTTATTTATATTACACCTGGTATGTGCAAATTTTGGTGGATAGAATAGGATTAAAATCGAATAATTGGCGCTTTATGCCGTTTACCGGTTTCAATTGCTTCCAGAGGGTGGCTTACTTCAATTACGTATTCATGTGCATACGTATTTATCGGATAGAATAGAGTTATAGACAATTTACGCCGTTGTTCTATTTAATCGTCTTTGAGAAAACACGTATACAAGCTATTTTCTGTTATGTTGTTAGTTTACTCTCTATGGTAATCGTATTGAACTTAATGCATTTACGACATCGATGCTATACAGTATTTATACTGCTTTATATTAATCTTACGTAATCCAAGTAAATTAATAAATTTAACTTTATAATTTAGCTAAAATAAAATAATAGGTATAGTATTCATTATTTTTATATAAATGGTAACACTTCTGAGATAATAATATTTCATTAATAGTTACTAGATTACCTAACTATGTTATTTCAGCCTAGTCTCATTAGTTATGTATTAAATCTGTCGAATTTACTTGGACTCTAATTGAAGCAAGCTTTAGCATTATTATAAATTAACCTGCTAGCGAAGCGCGAAGTTGTACACTTGTACAAAGTGAGTCGTCGTTTAATATTCAAAATAAATTATTAAACCAATAATAGTATGAGTAAGTAACTTGTTCTATAATAAACTTTCGAGAACCGAAAGAAAAGAATAGAGTAGACTCCTTTAAAACAAGGTATAATAACTTGACCCACCCTGTACTCGTTAATTTTCTAAATATCGAGATTTCCAGCTGCGCAGCATTTGGCAATATTACTTTTTAAATTTAAACTTTTAACATACAATGCTCGTGAGGTATTCTGGATATCGTTGGAAATATTCCGGATCGTATTCCTGGAAATACTCAGGGATATGAAAGTTGTCGTGCCTGGCAACATTGCCAACGTTGCAGATATAGTCCAAATGTTCCTACAGTTTTAAATTCAAATTCGGTTTAAGGTTATTTGAGAAATAACAATAAAATGAGTATTGATTTTGCTCAATAAATAAATTATATAATAGGTACTTCATTAATAATTTTTGATGAACTTAATACTCATTTTATTGTAAAAACTTTCTACTGGTTTGTTATGGGCTACGAGAGAATAATTAGAGAAATATTTGATTGTAGTAAAATTTTTTAAAAAATGTCCTAAAAACTGCAACAACTCATTATTATATTCTTTAGATGGATCTTAAAAAGTCATGACGTGGACAGTGAAACATTTTTACTAGAAAGGCAACAACTAGAATTTTTTATCAAAAGTGGAGTGGGGTCAAACCCAGAAACCAAAAATATATTTTAAACGAACAACATTTACTAATTTCATTAACCCATTAAAAATATGTTTCTATTAAATGTGCTTTTAAAGACACCTACTGCATGCTGCCTTTCTAGTAAGTTTAGTGCCATAATTGAAAAAACGAAAAGGTAAAAAAACTGTGAAATATGTGTAAAACAGTTAAAGTTAATGTAGTGTGAAGCACAAACTGTAAGCACAGAACTCAACAAGATTCTAAAAAAAAAGTTCAGCACATTTTCCATTATAAAAACATTATACACCGGCATATTATACAAATTAAATTTATAATCTTGTTTCTCCTGTGCTGCGTTATGATATGTGATATGCTAGGTAAAAAGATTAAAAAATCGTACGCCATTGTGCGAACCACTCTTACCTCTAACAGTTTTTTAACGGACCCATCCACTACCATTAAGGGCTTCTGTATAAGATGAATTACTCCGTTTTTCACGGGTATGTTGGGTTTCACGATTTCCGCCAAAACTACACCCGGTGTGTGAGTTCCATCGCCGAACAGGGTGTGGCTTTTAACGTAATCTACAGAAAAAATTCTACATTAAGAATATATTTTTATTAGGTACAGACTAGGAAGGATAGCTAGAGACTAGACATGCGCAAATGGTGTCGAGAGTTATTTCTGTCGCGCTGTAGGTATCTACAATTTTCGGCTGTTCATAAATTTGTTACTAGATTTACAGTATAAATTATTTATTGCACTCGATGTCGGTGCATCGATTGGTTTGCAATATTCGGGAATATTGCACAAAAACTGGCAAAAACAAGCAGTTTTGAAATAAAGATAGCGTAAAGTGCATCGCTCTTTCGCCATTGTACGCCGGACGCGGATGCTGACTTTTTGTAAAGAATCCGATGACAAATGAATGCGAACATATTTTCCAGACAGGAAAAACATATAAAGTAAATAAATCGCGAACAATTTTTCATTTTTCCAGCGGACGGGAATTTTTAGAACCCAAAACGACGCGATGCCCTGCGAACTAAATATTTCTATGAAATCGTAAAACGTACACCAATTGCAGTTATTTAACATCAAGCATTTCGCGAATACCATAAATTAATTCGTGCAAATAAAAAATCTGGACATTTATTCATTTACATTTCAGTCAGCAGTTACTCGGCCATTTTGATATCTCTGACAGGTGACAGGTGACACGTAAACATCACATGTAATCACGGTCGTATATAACAGGTCAGGAAACTCCTGTGGAGGGGATGTCCGGATGATTCCTACTTTCCGTAACTTTCTCTTCATTTCGTCCATTTTGTCTTCCAAATTTAATTTTTATTTAATTGCGACAATTATTTTAATCCAATTTGACGACAATACCATATTCGTGCATCGTACCTAAGTGTAACACAAGTTACAAGAAATTTAAAAATATCCGAAATATATAAGAAGTTTTCCGACCTGTATGTAAGACCGTGCATGATGAAATATAAAGGCAACAATTGGCCTAGCCCAACATAGCATTCCAAAACAATACACACATCGTACTTACTAACAACGGTATTGCCTCTTTGTTCTTGCGTAAACAAAATCACCACACGAATGTTATTATCTCCGTTCGCCGATGTCTGATAAGGAACGTCTTTTTTCGTCGGCGTCGTAAACAGCACTTGCCCAGGGATGACGTGCCCATCAATTATCTTCTCATCTATCGAGGCGGCTCTGTCGTTCTGAGACAATGGAAAGAAAAAGAGTCGTTCATAAAAATTCCAAGTTAACTTGGCGAACTTGAGGGAAATATTTTCCCCGCCGTTGATTTTTATTTATATTTACGAGGATTTTGTTTGCGGTAATATCGAAGTAGAAAAAAATTGAAACCAAGGGAGGCTAATGGGACCGTTGCGAGGAAACTTTCTTGTTCCATTAAATAATTCACGATCTTGTGGATAAATAGGCACTGGGCGAGTGGAAGCGATTGGGAGTGTTTTGATAAAGTTGGCCGTGAATGGCGAAAACTGTTGACAAGGGACAATTAAGAGTAAAAATAATTTTATCCACAAACGCTGCAGGAACAAACCTATTGTTTTCCAAGGCAAAAATGTAATTAAATAATGGAATAAAATTTCTTCAAACAACAGGCGTTAACAACAAGCATACGGGTAAGTTTTTTAATATTTAAATTTCGTATCTGTTTCAAAGGAATCGCCAGGGTTAGAAGTTTAAACGTTTCTCACTTACCCCGAATCCTTCGTCGACCGGAATAAAGAATGTGTGTCCTCCTTCTTTCGAGTAGACTGTCTGTTTGCCCTTCTGTTGAACTTTCTGGCGGAAATTCCTGTAAAATAGGACCTTTTATGAAATCGCAAAATACCTCATAAGAATTTCGCGTCCGGGATCTCGCCATAAGAATTTCATAAAATATTTCTTTTTATTTTTGAACTCGGTTTTAAGCGTTTCTCAACGGTCTTTTTTCTCATATGTCGCGTTTCTTAAGAGGACCCCAACGGATCGATGGGAGTTTTCAGATTTCTATATTCAATAGATTGACCGATAGTAATGCGGAGTGCGATAAACCCCAACAAGAATATTGTAAAATTCCTACCTCACATTTTCTATATCAGAAATTGCTCCCGGATTCCTTCTTAATATACGGAATGTCCCAAATAAAAGCTGCCAAGTTTAATTAAAAAATATCGTTCAAACAGAGGGTAGTTTTTCAATTTAAAAAAGATTTTCAAATCGAAAGAAAAATGCTTATTCAATAAGGGATTTGCTTAATTATTAAAAATAAATTATTAGGTACTCATTTTAAAAGATTTTTACTGCTAATCAAGGTTTTAGTTTTGCCGCTATTATTTTCTTAAAGCGATTATTTTTTTTAAGATTTCGTCTATGTATGATATATTGAATTACTAAATTATTGATTATTTGATTATTATATTGATTAAATTGCTTACCTAACTCTGAAAGGAGTTTGGCTGTTCGAAATAATCGAATCGTAGTTTTCCAAAAAATCCCATGCTGTAGGGTTGTATACTTTGTTAGTGGCTCCTTTGGGTGTGATAGTTGGAATCAAAACTTCGTCAATTTTGTGAAGGACCTGAAACAAAGAAAGTAGTTTCACTAAATTTCTTCTACCATTACGGAGACGTGCAAATGTATCAAAAGTTTGAAATATTGCTTCTTTTATTTGACTCGCCCTGTAGAAAAACCTTTGAACGGTCGTTTGATATTTTAGAATTACAAATGTTATTCGTCATAATATTTAGATACTATTTTCTGTAGTGCCATTCTCAAATATAACTTTATCAGAAAAATAAACATTAATTAGAAATTAATAACTCACGAAAGGGCGCATATTTTTGTAAGTTCCTCTCCATTTTACACCACATTCATGAATAATAAACTCCCGGATTTCGACGTTAAAAACCTTGTTAAACAGTGGGAAATAATTTGCGAACATTTTTAATGACAGAAGTTTTCGCTAATTTATAATTTCTAGTCTATTCCTCTTACAAAACACTATATATCCCTAGTCGATTTTCTGCGAGACAGATTTTGCAGCGAGGAAAATTTGAATAAAATTCTCATCGAGATTCTAGGGCAACTCTTGAAACAGCATCAGACTGCGAATTCATGAGCTGACTTAATCGCTGTATGTGAAGGGAAACGATTTTTCTCCCAGTTTTTTATTTTTTTATTTTTCCGTTTTATTTATTTGCTATTAAGCACATCCGAAGTTTTCATACAAACAAGGTAGACATTTTACCATTTTACCTACATAAAATTTCTGAATATTTCACAAAATTCTCAACAATAGAGTCAACAACATCGCAAACACATCAAGTTAATACATTAGTTAGATTGTACCTACTTAATGTAATATTAATTTGCAACTATTTAGCTTGTTTAATTAAATTCATAGCCAGAAGCATTTAATTCATATCACAGTGCCACAATGAGTTTCCAAAGGAACACAGCATGTGTGTATGCAGACTGTGTATACGTACGGTATGTTTATATACATGTACCCCAACAATGCAACTAAGATATCCCCGCGTTTCTGATCGAACATGAAGCTAAATAAAATTTAATATACATAAGTATAATACTTACTTTTGTATAAAAATTAAAGCTATTGTTATTATGTTTATTTTAAATGAACTACTTAAGTAACCAGCTAGGATTCTGCCAAAATTACTTATAATCAACATTAATCTATACACATATCCAGGTTGCAGCTGGGTTTTTTTAAATCCATTACATTCTTAGGTAATGAAAATATTCTCTAAGCGGTTAGCCGTGTTAGCCAAATTACAAGTAGCAATAGATATAGATGAAAGAGCAAAAAATTGCTGGAAGCGCCCATTTTGAATTTAACAAATTTATTTCACACGTTCTTATATGCCGTACGGAGCTCAGAAAAAGGAAATAAATTGTTCAGCTCTTTTTTTCCATTTGGAAGAGTTTCAGCGTGTTTGCGGTTGTCTCCTAATGGATGGAATTGTCTCTGCCCTCAATTCACCTCATTGTAAATAGGAAAGCTTTTACTTTGAAAACGCCCTCTTCATTTTTTGAACTTTTTCGACCTCGAAGAGAAATATACCGGGCGAACGATAGTAAATTTACCATTCAATCCACTTAACATATCGTTCTTTGTTGTTGCTCGAAACTACAGTAAACTAGAAAGTTGTAATTGGATTTCCCTTCAATAAACACGATATCAAACATCGGGTAAGTTTGCGATATTTACCTGTTGGAAATCCCTTTTGTTACTCTGGATGTTTGATTGGCTGACCAATATTCTTGCGTTATTGACGTATATATCATTGTGATAGCTCCCGGATATGTGTGTGATCCATATTGGACTCCCTGAGAGATCCGTTGAAAGAGAAGTGTATGAACTTCCCAGTTGGTCGGTTGTCTTTGGCAGAGTTACTGAAAGAAAAAAAGATACTGTTATATTTCAAATAGTTATGAACATAAATTTCTTATTATTCATTTTTTCTTTTTCCTTGCGAAAATCCTGAAAATTTCGAGTCCTCCTCTGTTCAGCAATTGAATTTTGCGTCGTTGTAGGTAAATGAGAAATTATAGTTCATGTACGGTGCTGGTTACGTAATTAGATTGCTTTAATGTAACAGAACAGAGGAATTCTGTATAACACGACGAAATGCAATAGAATACTTTAGAAATGAACTATTATCCCGTCCTAACCAAGAATATTAATTAGTTTGGTGGAAATTCGCTATTTATTTTATTATGGATTATGGCACATGAATAATTCACAGTTCAATTTCGGAATTGTAATTATTCTAATGTAGAAGCATCGACATTATTCATAGCTTAGTTGGTTGTAGTGACATAATGATTATTTTAAGCATTTTTAACGAAATTAATCCCAGAGGGTGTTTAAAAAAATGGCTTGCAGTGGACCTCAAAATATGATGAGTTTCTTTAAGACTTTTTTATTCTAAATTTTTTATTTAAAATCTGCTTCAGACAAAAAATTCAGAAGTTAATTTGTTACCAAGATATTATTTTGTTCTTTATCGTATTTTATGAATGATACCCCATATATTACATCTACGAATGAAAAAAATTATCCCAAGTTAAAAAATCCAAAACAATAATAAAACGAAATACTAGAAAACTAAAATAAAAAAACCATTAAATTTAATGTCACCATTCCATTTTCCATTCTCCACCATTCACCCAGTGCAAAATTAAGATTTCTCAATAAAATCAGCTCCATTCATCCTTAAAGCAGCGCTGACAAGAATAATTATAGCAAATCATCCGCGGACCGATCCTGTTCTGCTGCATAAATTTCGACGGGAAGAAGAACTAAATTTATATCGAAACGTATATACGTTTCCTGTTCGCGTTTGCTTCTGATTTTGCATAGAACAAGTACCCACTTAAACTCTATCTGATCATTGTAAATTAAATCTGTCGGAGTCTTAGGCATCCCTGCAATTTATCGCTTCTATCGCAGGGGGTGACTTGTTACAGATATTCAGGAAGGTGTTATCACTATCGTTTGTAATTTATATCTGATCGAATTTGTTATACCATTCCTTTTTACGAATGTTTTGAATACAAGTTTTTATCACAGAATATTGCTATACAAAATCATACGTATTTCAATAGCCATATATTGATGGTTATATTTAGAATTAATTATCGGCATTATCATAATAAGCTTCTTCATTTTCTTAAGTATACGAATATAGGGAGATATAAGAGAAGTGGGTGAATTTCAGTAGCAGTCCCGTCCAAACTTTTGTGTATTTATGGACTGTTTTTCAAGTGAAATATGGCATCCCATTTATCTCTCCCTTATTCAAGTTTATTATTGAATTTAGAAAAAGATTCCTTTCGCAGTGATTTACGTTGGATCCAATATTTCCGGGAAGGAAATAAAAACATAAAAATATCCTTTGAGCGACGATTAGCAACGAATAGTAGAAAAAAGCGACTCTTAATAATAACAATTGATTATTTCAGTTTCTGTTTATTTTTCATTTTATTCGTTCAATTCGAAGCCGTTTGAATCCGCATAAAAATTTCATTAGAAGGAAATCCGAAAGGATGAAAGTCGCAAACAGGAAACTGAAAAGCGAAGGAGGCTGTTGGTTCACTATTCGACGTTTATCAATCTTCTTGCAACTCGCTAACCGTGAAATCGAATATTTTATTTTTTTTATTTAACGTTTCAATTTGAAAGACTCTACTTTGATATTTTTATCAGAATGCATGAAATGAAAAAACAATAATGTCGCATTTTCAACGATGTTAATTTGAAGTAGGTACCATAAAATGTCTCTACCAATAATGTCGCGATTGTATGACGAACTGTATCAAATTTATTACTCTTCGTCTTCTTTTCTTTTATATTTTCTTTAATATATCCTTCATCTACAATATATTGTTTTCAGGAGTAGGCAGCTATTATTTTATAATTTATTTTTTGCAAGGACATTTCTTTTGATAAAACATTTTATTTACCTACCGTTATATGTCATAAATAACTTATCTTCAATCGGTTACATCACCCTTGATAACCGAATAACAGGGTACCTATTTTATTTAAAGAAGTATTTATAAAAGTGCTCGTAAATTGTGTGTATTCAAACTCATTACGTTTTTCCGCAAATTAATTTGCTGGCAAAAGTTATAAGCTTATATTACAATGAAATTAGAACCTGTGAAATTTGAATCCGCAACAATACTCTTCAAACAAGCTTTGAGCTCATAATTTTAACGGTAATTTTCACAAAAATAAAAAGCGGTTGTGTGATACACAATTTTTTCGCTCGCTGTGAAATTTGAGAAGAAATTTTGAAAATTCAACAAACAGTTGGTTTTTAGGATAAAATAACATGATTATTTTGTGTGTTGCATCTGACTTTTTTCATTCATTTAATCAATAAAATTTTTGTGTCATGAATTTTAATAAAATTTCGTTAGGTGAATATTCAATAAATGATTTAATAATAATTATTTATTGAATATGCTGTGAAATCTAAAAAAAATTTTAAACCAAGTCGGAGTGTTTGGAAGAAACTGGATTATCACTTAAAACGGAGTTTATCAAAATGTATTTTCCTTAAAAATAAGCAAAGTTTGAATGAGTTTATAACCGACTCAATTTCCTAGGTAACTTTTTTATGATGGAACCTTGACTGCGAGAGAACAAGAATAAATTTTGCATGCAGCAATTTCCGCCGAATTTATTTTCTGTTTGTAGCAGCAGAGGAACGAATTTTTTCCGTAAAAACAATTTAGAATCGCAGTGCCGGTAAGTGGCGTCTCGCTCTCGAAAATATTCCAGCATAAATCACATTACCTTTTCCACTTCTGGTCCCTTATGCAGCTACATTAATTTTATTTAAAACATGACTGATGCGAACCACTGAATGTTGGGTCACTGATGGTGACTTCTGTTACCAGTTGCTAATGCACGCGAATGCAATTTGTCGTTATTAACAAAATCCGCAATATTTCTTTGAAAAATAAACAAGTTGAATGTTTTTTAATAAAGATCATATTTATAAGTACCAGACAAATAACTTCAAAGTATATTAGGTTGCCTAAATTAAATTATTCTTTATTTTTATAATGTAGGTATTAAAACAAGATTTAATAAAATCTTTTTGTATGATATCGACTAAGTAATTATACTTTTCTTTTAATTTGAGCACCTTGTTTTTCTTGATTAAATCTAGATACATACTTTATGTATTAAAATATGTATGTAGGTAGGTATCCTAATGAAAATGGTGCATTAATATTCTATTTTTTATGAGTTGCTATTTAATGAATTTTAGATTAAATGTGTAGAGTGATCACATGAGAGCAAAGCTACAATTTTTCAATGTCCGAAAGTTGATCCCAAGCTTTCCTATAGTTACTCTATGTCGTGTTGTCTACTTGAGAATAAATTACTCTCGATGGACATTTCAGAGAGTAATTAATAATATAAATTAAAATAGATGGCATAAAATTCTCTGAACATATATCAAACTACTCAAATAGAAAAAGGGTAAAATAAGATGATTTACTCACTCATATGATACGCGATAAGCGATTCTGTTTCACCCCTGTAGTCGCCCAATTTTTGAAAAGCAGCATTGATTGGTGCAAAAATCGTACAAGGTTTGTTCTCCAGTGTAAAGTTGGCGCTTTTTGATGGCTCCATGAAGGAATAAAACTGCAATAAAAAATAAGTTTTTTTAATAAAGTCAAATTGGAAAAATTGTTTAATAAACCTAAATTTCTGCGTATTTAAACACAATATCAAGATGAATTGTATGTATCGGGGCTTGAAAGAAAATGTAAATAGACTAAGCAATTACTATCTATAGCTTTAACAGATAAACTATTACTAAGTACCTATGTAAGGATCAAGTTACCAGCAAGTTAACCAGGATAATTTTTTATGCGAATCCAAAGTACGCGAATAAAGAGAGTCTTTCAATTCAAATACTTTTCCTGTATTATTATCGAAAATAAGTGAGCCATGAAAATTAAAGGCAACTCGCCGGCGGTTCGTTATATCCTTCAGAAAATACCTTACTTGGCATATACCGGTTAGTAGGATTTACTTTCTCCACGTGGAAATGGCTCGTCATATATAAAGGAGAGGATTTAGGGCGCTGCGATGCTTAGGTATACTTTGAATCCAATTGATATTTCCTCATATGCTTCTATGTTGGCATTTTGTACATACGTAAAATAAAATTCGTATTTACGAAATACCTACATATCTTAATGAAATTATTCATAAATTTAAATATTGTGTAATCATATTGGCATTTTTATTTTTCGGTTTTAATCCAATTTAACTTGTAAATTGTACCTACTCAAAATCGAATCATTCGTAATTTTACAAAATTAAAAAATAAATGAGATATGTTAATCCCAAGATTTTAAATAATCTTTTTAATTTTACAGGAAAAGTCATAAATTAGAGAAGAGAAGAACCGCTTTATCCATTCAATATGCATATCTGAAATGCGACCATTAGGTACACTATTATGAGATTTAAATGGATAAAACCACTTACGCATTCATTGAATAATTTGGCACAATGTTTAAATAGATCGACGGGACGCAACGGCTCTATAATTCCTTTATATATCGAACACCGCAAAGCCAATTATCGTTTGAATTGGAATTCAATTCGTATGTGTAAATTGTTAGTAAACGTGGATTAACCAACGCAAAACCAATAACTCAATAATTTGGTGTCTTTAAAGACACTTTGTACGGAATCCATAAATTTAGCAATTTCGTATGAGTACTTACAAACTAAAATAGCCATTTACAAGAACTTTATTGATTACTTATTCCGCAGACTTGCTATTACCAAAAAAATAGATCATACTTAAGATATTAATGCAAAATTTAAATAATTAAAAACGTGTTTATCTCTATTCTAAGACAGTACAACTCTGAACAAAATCGTCAGAACATTTATCATATTTAATCGTGCGTTTACGTTCTAAACGTGAATGAAAAGACCACAACTCCGGTTAATTTTCCACATTTGCGGCCGCAACTTCGCAAATTTACTTAGTTCGGCCCAGATAATTTCGTAATATCTTTCAGCCTGTCCCCCAGGGGGTGCTGAATATTCCCGGTTTGTGAAAATTACGACAACGCAACGGCAGGAATGTTTTATATTTATTATTTTCGGTTCATCCTGTACTGCACTGCACCGAATGTGCTGTTAGCATAAAATATTACAGCAACTTTCGAACTAAAAGTCCAAACATATAGCCGATAAATTTGTATTTGGGTAATACTGCATTATTAATAATAAAAGTATTATCCAATGAAAAATGTATCTCTTTTAATCGTATAAAGAATAGGTGTTGTAATTAACTTGCATTTACTGTAGAGCAGTAGAACTGTAGATGAGTAGGACTGAGAAAATGTACTGGGATTATTAAAAATTTATTTGCACATTGCACAAAGTTTTATTGAATAGGTACATCTAATAAAGGATTTTTTGTTTATAAAATTTGTGAGATTTCTATAGGTAATTCAAGGGTTTTTGTTTATTTGTTGATGGAGTTTTTACGGTAAGTTTTAAAGAGATCTTCTATATTCAAAAGGAGTTGATTAGAGAAAAAATACACCGAAATCTACGAGTTTATGCAACGTGTTTAAAAAAGGCACTAGCACTCGAGTGTCAACTGATGGACTAATATTTAAAAATTTTCAATCTTTTTAGCTGTTATTCATTTTTATCGGTTGTTTTAAAAAATTTTCTTCTGAAAGACATTTAGGTATGTAGAGACGTATTGTCTCACATACATGCAAAATATATTAAATACGATATATTTCGCATGAGAACCCGGCTCGTTTAATTAAATATACCTTACTGGTCGGTCTGGATGTAATCCTGAAACATCGGCTAACGCTAAAAGCCGGTAAACCGGCAGAACTATCGGCCGCATCCCCTTAGTATCCAAAATTACACAGAAATAACCGTATTAAATATTTATCAATTTATATACAGTAACTTTGCTAACTGGGCGAAGCGCTGAACGTTCTCTTTTAGTTATGAATACATTATACAGGCAGCCTTACATTCCTGTTGAGATTCGCCTGAGTGTTGGTGCTTTATTTGTTCATTATACATAGGTCTATTCCAGCCAAGATACATAATATTCAGAGCCAATAGAATCAGGTATAAACGTTATGTTGTTACAAAACGTGTTCATTGGCAATAAAAGTTTATAAAAATATCGTACATACGTAGATTGCAATATTTGAAATAAATTAACAACCATTAAAAATCGGAAACATGCTGAAAATCCATATATGTAGATAGCGAATCGAAACGCAAAATTTTTAAACGGAGCAAAAAATATTAGGGACGAATGCAAAATTAATGTAATTCCTGTTCATGTCCGCATTCGCCTAACTAAAAATCGAAACGAACATTTAATTTCGTTAAATTCCAATTCTATTTACATTTCGTATGCGTTACATTCATTTCGCTTTCGTTTGTGTATTCACGATTATTAAAATAAATATTTGGCACGAATACATACGAATAGAGTTTGCTATATGTTTTGTTGCAATTTCAATATATTGTGCAGTCAAATCATTGTTTGAGTTAATTGTTCTAAAACAATACCTACATGCGTCGATTAACTACGGCAATGCCTAAATATTTGGAAAACTAAATGATTTATGGAAATCCCATTTGGAGAAATTAGATTATCTCTAGTTGTAAGACAAACAACACATAAGCATTTTTTCTCATTATATCCGTTCTCCCTTTCCTCAAATTAGGTTCTACATGACTCCAATCTACATAGACTCCAATGACAGCTTTTGTACTTAAAGGGCATGTGAAATATTAATTAGACGTTAGCAAAAGCTTGGGTAGATGCACGAAAGAAAAACCTTTATTTGAGACACGTTCAGAATTTCAAAATGTCACCCGACTGCAACCGAGATTAAACGGTTACGTCCTTTACAGCTCGCCTTATTTCTTCGGCCTGGGTCCAACAGGAGCTCTGCTATGCGACAAAGCGACATATTCTTAGTGCGACCTCGACGGCGTTCGCACTTAGTGGCTGTAGAACCATTTAGAAAATGCAAATTAAAGGAAATATGAAATTCGACGCTGCGCCAACTTTGGTCAGATAAATACGTCTAGACGGACGGATTTCAATAGTTCGCAATTCCGAATGAAATTATTTCGTACTAGATTAAATTCCCGACACTCTGGTGCGCTTGAATTTAGAACACAACTGAGAAATTACTGTGCTTTATTTACCTACTTCCTTGATGAATTGACTGTACGCAAAAGTTGTTAATTATTTCCTCTAATTTTTGCAATTTTTGTTTCTAAAAATGGCACTTTTCGACACGTCCATCGACGCCGTACTCTTTATCCGCAATTAATCGGCCTCGTTTTTCGGAATAAAGGACATTTAAGGGATGTGGTATTTTTCTTCACAACCAACCTACAGTCCTATAGTGGAAATGTACTATTAGTTTCTAAATATTAAAGGTGTTTTGCATTTTGGTCCAGTTGGATACGCAAAGGGTCTTTGGTTTAAGGAATAATGTGAAGAGCAAGGGTCAAATCGGCGACACGGAGACCGCAGGGTCCAAGCCGAAGGTCCAAAAGTGATAAAGAGGAAACTCTGATAAAATTACTTAGCAGATTCTGTAGCGCCACCTGATTCCGCGATTAGAAAGTTTCAATCCCAATTGAAGATAGGTTGATCATTTGATTTACGACTGTTTTATTCGATGTGATTTATGGCCTAAAATATTTACGTGTAGGTAACCAGCAGTTTGGTTAATTAATTGGAGTTTAAAGCAAAAACAATAAAATGGATGTAACAATGAATGTTGGTAAATATTTGAGGCATCGCAATAAATTCGAAGTTAATATGTATAAATATGCATTTTCGCTAAATTTTAAAACTATTCGAGTATTTACAATTGCAAAAAGTTACTTAATTTATGATATTTGTATTGTTTAATTAGCTATATTTTTAATAAATGAGGTTACAATAATATAAATTCAATGCAGCTTTTACAAATATTGGAACTCTATCAGGTCTACTCATAACAATACCCAAAGAAACTTGAGCCAAATAGTATCAAAAATTAATAATTTCTATTTGAAGTTTTTCTATTAAAAATTAATCAAATCTGATGAGAGTATTAAATATATCAAAATATAAATACATAATGTTCTCATCTGCTAATATTGGATTATAACAGGCGCGTATATCTCCACGTTCATAACTTTGGTATTAATGAGTTTTTAATCATTTAATCAATATGATATTAAGATAAAGGAATGAGTGAGAAATCGATTACGGCGTTTTAGAAGTGAAACTAATTTAAAAATATTAACTTTAAGAAACTTTAAATTAATATTACGTGAGTCTGGTAAACTTTGGCAATGAGAAATTATTATGCAAATAAATAATTGAAAAACATTGAAATTTTCAGAAATTTTGATTTAATTTTAAATTTGAGTAAATTATAGGCATAAGGGAAGTTAAAGGAGGGAGTTATGCTTTAGCAAACATCAATTTAGCCTTTTAAGAATGCTAAACTAGGGCTTTACCTTTAAGATCAACTAACACCTGATGTCCTGCATTAAAAGAACAAAAACGAACTTACATAAAAAAGTTACAATTCATACAAAACATTGTAATGCAACTT